GCTTTGTTAGCTTGCTTCTGCACTGAGAGGACATTTCCTTGCATGCCTTTGCCTTTTTAGCTTGTTGTAACTTAAAGCAGCTTTGTGTAGGGCTTGTGCAGTTGATTGAAATGCTGCCAACCACTGCAACTGATAGAAAAAACTGCCAGAACTCAGGTGATGGCCACGAGCTGCTCTGATGGCATTTCACGGCTCTTAAGACTGTCCTGTAGGCCTGGCATATTTTACCAATGGTACCACTTAAGAAATGTTTATGAACAGATAGACTTTGGACCTCCAAGTGGATATTAAGCTACTGTAGAGATAGAGATGTACCTCCAAAAGGATGAAGATGAAAGAAAAGCAATCAGAAAAAAATCAAAAATATATGCATCTTTTTTAAAAAAAAGTGTTGAAGTTGTTTCATATAAACAACTCTTTTCTTATTGTTTTCCCTTTGAAATAGTCCTGGTTTAAAATCCCAATAGATAAAAATATTCCATTTTTAAACAACTGACATATGGCAAAAATTGGTACCAGTAAATAAAAGCACATAAAACTAAATCGCACCCTTCTAAATGTTAGTAAAAATGACAAAATAAAATACTAGCTATATAAACTATGCACAGGTGTGTAGCATATTACAAGCAAAAAACATATCTTGCAATTATAAGCCTACAGTATTTATTTTACTTGTCTGTAATTACATTTTATACATGTTTGTTTAGTAATATCAATCCAAGACATCATTTTGAGGATATAATTAACTGCATGTTAGAACAGAATGTGTTTGACTGGTTTTGTGTCTCAAGATTTAAGTCTTTGTTAGCTGTGCTTAAGTGCCACCTAGTGTTACAATCTACCAATTTCGCTCAGAAAACTTAAATTTTCACAGTAAAACCAAACTGCAGGGTTAAGAAAAACCTAGGGTCATAATGCTCACATTTCAGTGCTAACAATAAGTCCTTAATCCGTATTTAGGTGCTCATGAAGTACACAATCTCATGCACAATACTTTTACTGCAGACTGTGACCAAGCAACAGAGAGACTACTCTGGTGTTAAACCATGCATTTGGTTATATCGGCACAGTCGGGCAGTAAATGCAGATCTCAAGGTCTCACTTGCAGGTCTCTGGTTTTTCAGATTTGTGTACCAGCGATCCAACAGTAAATCTGCGCAAAGATAGAAGTATTTAAAGAAGACACACACATATATATATTATTTTTTCTGTAAGTTGCACAGTATAACTGAGATCTAGGGGATGGAAACACGATGTTACAATCTATCGAGCATGCTACAGTTAGACACCAGTGCACTGAGATATGCAGGACAATGCCACTCCTGTGGCTACACAGCTCTGTTTCTGCAATGACCCTTGCTGACTTCATTGTGGGTGCTTCACAGATAGAAAGAACCACCTGTTCAAAACAGCCCAATATTGGGGATTTCTGGCTGCTACTTATTTTAGAATAAGTTTAAAGCTTATATTCTTGACAACTTGGGAACTGATCTATGTTAGGTTGCTCTTCTAATAAAAAACATTACTACTGAAAAATCAAATGCTGAGTTTATAGCTCATTAGCTATGGACTTACAGAATGTTTCATCCACTGTCACACAAAGCAGTCATTAAGAAATCACAGTTTCCGTCCTTTCTCTGTTTCTGCAACACTGAACAACTGATAGTAGCTGTAGTTTAACTAAATGCTCTTTGCATCCTCTCCACAAATGTCATATATAATGGTTTATGTAAACTAAACTTCAATTTGTCTCTATTCTTTCTGAAATTCATTAAATGCTACAAGAAAGAAAGATCGCGCCATTACAGAGAACTGGTGTAGCTCAAAGCAGAATATGCAAAACACTTAGGCTTTTGGGTAAATTTAGTGAGACCATAACCATTAGCTTTTCACACCATTAGAAATGAGGACAGGCTCCTATTTCTCCATACCATTTATTGGAAAGTCTTGTCTTTAAATCACAATGGCAAAAAAAAAAATAGAAAAAGATTTTAAGTACTATTTATCCTGACTGCTGCAGTAAGCATGGGTAAGTTGACAAGTACATTAAAGAATTTCTATCTAATTATATGTCATAAAGTGAATTAATTTAAGTTTGTTGCAGAAATATAAAATCAGAGAATTGAATAAATGGTAAAGAGCTGAAGAATCACAAGAAAAACTTCTCATCAGCAGTAAGAAAGGCTCGCGGTGAGACGTCTTAAAACACATTAGAGAATGTTTGGAAATAAAACAAGAAAGATAAACTCTTCCAGAGCAGCTTTTAGAAATGACCTGCAGATGCAACATGTGTGTATCTGTCAGGCAACAAAGAAGAAAAATGAACTTTCGGCTGTATTTGGCTTATAATTGTTTGGTTTATGCTTTCAGCAAAGGACGAAACGTTCACAAAAAGTAGATTAATTGTGCCCTTTTTTAAAGTACATTTTGATAAAAATTTTAATATGAAGGACTTCAGTCACCCTTAGCGACACTTCAGCGTTGAGGCCTGGAAGAAACCCTCAAGTACAGAGGGCAGGATGACACCAGTGGGTTTAGAAACACATCAAGAATCCGGCTGGAAATCACAGCACACTTCCCGTGCCAAAAATATAATTTTGTACAGTAAAGCAACAATCGGCATCGAGCCTAAGGCAGTCTCACTGGAGAACCTGGGACGAGCGGAATCCGCAAGGAGTGAGAAAAGGCAATGCCAACCCTCAGCTACGACTCTATGTCGCTCGCAGTGGGTTCACCCTTCCTCGGAGTATTTGGGCTGCAAAGCCCCAAAAAGTTTACCGAAACTATTGCCAACTCTCGCGTGAGTGTGTATAGGGGAACGGGGTGGTTCAAGCAATGGATTTCACCGCGAACGCAGCCCGAAGCGCTGCCGCTCTCCAGCGACCTCCCGCCTCCCCCCCACGTCCCGCAGCCGAAGCGACACGGTCCCTCAGCGCTGACGGCCGCTGCGCGAGACCGCCCCCCAGCCGCGGCCCGCCGGCAATGATTGGGCCCTACGTCTCACGGCTCCTCCAATCACAGTAGCGAAGGCGGATCCCGACCTCGCCCGATTCCACCTACAGTGGCGCGACGGGGCCAATCAGCGCCCACGACTAGGCTCCACCTTTCCGGCCGTTTCCATGGCAGCGGAGGGGGGGAGGTTAAGGCGTCGTGGCGATCATGGTGGGTGGTTGCTTTCCTTTTCGAAGCCGGCCAGGCTGAAGGTAAACTAGATCTGCATATTTACTTCTTTTTCTTTCCTGCCTTCTCCTCCCTCAATCCTGTAGAATGGTACATTCCGACGGGCTCATAGATTCTCCCCCCCACCCTTCCCAATGGTAGGGTTAAGGGCGGATCCTGCGTGCCCCGTCGCGCTCGCCGCCGGCGTCTCTGTGGGTTTGCCCTGAGGCTGTTCTGCTCGCGCCTTTTCCAGAGGCGCTGGCCTCGGAGAGGGAGAGCCCATCCCTGCCGCCCCTGGACCCGAGGGCTTCTGACGAGACAAGGGGTGAGCGTGGGGCTGCCTGCAGTGGCCCAGCCCAGTTTGCCTCACGCCTTGGCAGCCGCCCAGGGAAGCGGCCTGTGAAGCGTTTGCCTCGTGGTGCTGTGAGCCGAGGGCACTCACGCCGGTGCTTGTTGGTTGCTACTGTTTGTAAGCTAGGCTGCCCTGAGGAAAAGAGGTGCGTGCGGTTGCGCTCCCTGTTTCTCCCGGTGCCAGTAAAGGTGTCGTGTGATGAGCCAAAGTCTCACAAGTGGCATGAAGTTCCCTGGCTGAGGGAAAGGCGGGTTGTGCTTCTTGTTAAACGAAGGCAAAGCATTAGCGATAGGCCAGTTGGAGAGAAATATTTTTCAGAGTGTGGTGAAATATGCATCCCTAGAAAATGGGCTCTGCTGAAGTTCGAGTGCACATGTAAATAACTTGCTTCAAATTTATGTGTTAGTCTCTTGTTGGAGGGGAGGCCTTTCCTAATGCTCTCATGAGATCTTTTAGTTCTTCCACTCTTCAACACTGTGAACATGTGATAAGTTCTTTTATTTTCTCTAACCTTACTTAATGTGACAAGAGTGTAGTCACCAGTGAGGTGAAACCAGTTCTTGAAAGGGTCCTATAGGAAAGCTGGGGAGGGGCTTTTTACAAAAGCTAGTAGCAATAGAACGATGGGGAATGGTTTTAAACTGGAAGAGAGTAGACTTAGACTGGATATTAGGAAGAAATTCTTTACTGTGAGGGTAGTGAGACACTGGCACAGGTTGCCCAGGGAAGTTGTGGATGCTCCCTCCCTGGCAGTGTTCAAGGCCAGGTTAGACAGGGCTGTGAGCAACCTGGTCTGGTGGGAGGTGTCCCTGCCCATGAGCTTTAAGGTCCCTTCCAAACCGAACCATTCTATGATTCTGTGAAAAGTGCTGTAGGGTCTTGATTTGCATGCAGTGAGCAGTTGATCCCCATATCTCAAAAAATCAGTAAGATGTAAACAATTAAAGCTGTGTATTGCACTGTGTACTGTTACAGTACAGAAGAGCTGAGCTCAAGAAGTTTTAATTTTTCAAGCACTCAGAAATGAAACTGGTTTGGTAGCTGAAGTTATTTACTTTAATCATGCCTGTACTTAAACATAGGTTTCTGTGAACAGGGTAGGCACTATATCTGTGAGAGGTAGTTCTAAGTTATGTTTACAAGCATAAGGCAAGAGCCAGAAATCACTAATGTAAGCCCTAGTACACAAATTCTACAAGCACAGTTTGTGTGTGGGGTTGTAAGCATCTGAAACTTTAGAAAACTTAATGCAAAATCTGAAACTCTCATTAATTATTAGAATTCAGTAAGATTTTCCTAAAACATTGTGAACATTAGCAGTGTGCATGTATTCTAAACAATGTAACAATGTCTTGTAGCAGGTTTTATGTGGATAGCTGATATATAATGTGTGCAACTTTTTAACACAGAATTGTTTAATACTACAAAAGTGTATGTTCATGTACGTGTTTGGAAGATTTTAATTTCATTTTGTTTTCCTTTTATAGAGTGACAAAACTGAGGCAAACAAATGAAAATGTCATCCTATTTGGCTCAGGAGGTTCACCTTGCTAGAAGACACGAAGAGATGTAAGTAATTTTTCCAGCGCTGTGGCTGGCCTCACAGCAGTTTGTGTTGTGGTCTTGAGAAACTTCCGTCACTGCACTTGATGGTCGGTGAATCCAGGCTCTGTACAGAGCACAGTGGTATTTCAGCAAGGGGCTGGTGTTCCAGGAGGTGGCACTCTTCCTTCATGAACTATTGGAATCGGCATGCTTGATTGCCGTTCAGGGTATTTAGGTTGATGAGGTTTTTGACTTCCGATGGTGGTACTGGTTTAAGAGCTCCATTGTTAACCTCCTGTCACCACTAAATTTCTATTTGGGGAAGGTAATTGGATTCTCTCACTCTGTGCCTCAATTATAGAACTGCTTCTTTGTTGCCCTGTAAACTGAGTTTGTGAAGCAAATACGGTAATGATTCAGAAAAATCTGCTTTTCTTATAACAACTAGTACTTGCCAATGAGCAAGAGTAGCACTGATCAAGTCACCCCAACCCACCCTGTCTTTTCTGTTCGGGGAGATTTGGTGCTTCTAAGCACCTTAGCATATGAGGACTGCTGGTTGCAACATTAGAGCTTCATACAAGCACAGCAGGTGGTGTCTGCCTGTACCTTTTCCCTCCCCCAGCACACCCACCCTACAGCCGGCTTAATTAGCCCCATAGTTTTGAGAAAACTGGGTAAGGTAAAAAGGTTATTTTCTAGCTCCTGAGCAAAATGTTCTACCCACTTAGCAAAATGTTTTCCTTTGTAGACTGTCTCAGAGATCAGAGCTGCTACAGCAGATGGAGACTTATCTAGGAGACAAAAAGACTAAAAAGACATGGCAAACTCAAGCAGCTGATGCAGCTCATAAAAGGAATGCAGCACTTTTAAATGTAAGTTTCTGCAACTACCAGGAACCACATTGAAATGTCATGGTTATGTAGCTTAGAGAATTAAAAAAAAAAGTGTTTGCTCTATAGTTATCATTGGAATTCTCCTATATACAGATCCCTCTTCTGGAACTTGACCAAAAGTATCAAGTGATAAGTCTTTATTATCTGGTGGCATCACTACCTATTTCCCATGCCCTTCTTATATGAGCCTCATGGTGGCAGCTGCTACTATCTCTTTTTTTTCTGCTCTTTTTTTTTTAAGTGCATGTAGAGATGCAACTATTACATGTCTGCTGAAGAGAGCTTAGTCTGACAAGGCTCAGCACCTCTACACTTTGATTCAAGATACAGGGGTATCTAGGGGCTGACCAACCTATAAGGCTTCAAGTCCAGGGTAGGAGCTGTTCTCCCACTATGGTTGTGTGAAGTTGTGGAAGAAGTTCTCAGTTTAGTGTTTTTCTTTAAATAGGTGTAAGTGACTTCAAGAATCTTACTTGCAAGTTGGTAAAGCCAGTGTTTGGTGTTTCTGGCTCTTCCTGCTGGTGATACTGTTAGCAATGTTAATAGCTGTTCTACATACATGTTGACATATTTAGGTAAGATTTGTGTTTCCTGAGTAAACTCAGCAGGCTTTTGAGAACAGGCAATTAAAAAGGTCTCGGTTTGATGGCAGGGACTTGGAGTGCTAAAAACCTCTTCTGGAACCTCTAGCTTAGACATTTGAGTTTGAAGAGATTGCAGTTGACCACTGTCATGAGCATGCATTCAGAAGAATGTTTGTCTGTTGTTCAGGAAACGGCAGAAAACTGTACCTCTTATGCATTTTCTTTAAACTTTCACTTATTGAAGGTCCATCTTGTATGCATTGTGTTTATTGAAACAGTAAGTTTTATTCTAGATAATTACAAGATTAATTTGTATCACTGAAATTTTTTTGTTTCTTCATGCAGAGCCTCATTAAGATTCAAAATGTTCACATTTAGGGTGGGTATAATTCTGTTGCAGGCCGTCTTTGTATTTAAATGGAGGTTATATTTAAGGAGTGGCAGGCAAGGCAGAACAGTCAGGGGTGTCTTCTTAACTGTTCTGTGACAAGGAAGATTTTTCAACTTGGTCTCTGATAAACTGGTGCATTGCTGGGGCAATCAAATTCCTCTGTAGTGCATATAGATAAATGTAGGTGCTTCAGTGGGAGGCTGAGGAGAAGTGGATGGTTTGTTTAATCTTTCCGTAGCTCATGTTTCATCGATTTCTTAATTTCAGTCATTATGACTCCAATTTTCCATATGCATTTTATAATAAATGTTTATTTCATAAATGCAGTTTTTCATAAATTATTTGTATTTTATAAATGCGTTCTCAGTTAACTTACACAGGCAAACATAATAAATGCAGGGCATATTTCTGCATGCTGAAAGCTTGTTGTATTGGAAATGTTAACAATAGCTCAGACATATACAGAGTGTAAATATTTTTGCAGTTAAACAGATATTTGCCATCTTCTGTCACATCCTCAAAATTGTTCCTTTCAAGTGTCAAAAATGTTGGTGTTTATACGGAAAAAAAGCAAAAACATATGTATCAAAACAAATTCTGTTGCAGGATAAAGTAGCATAAATCAGTTAAAATCTATTAATTTTATACTAGTTTTAGCAGGCATGCACTCCTGCAGATGCTTTCTGATAACAGAAGAAAACAGGAAAAAAAAAATCTATGCAGAATAATATATGAGAAGCTTGAAAACAAGACTGATTAATGTGCCAGCTTCAGAATATTGTTCCTGATACCAGGCACTGTACATTTCACAGTTACCATGTGGAGAGTTGTTGATTTGGCCTACTCAAAAATACATGGACATGATGAAGTGTTATTTTTTTATTTGCATTTCTGGTTTTCTCCATGTAAGCAAAATCAGTTGTTTTCAATATGTGATCATAGCGAAAGGCATTTTTCTTTCTCTGTGCTAGTTTACAGGAAAGCATTTCAAAATTATTTTATTTTCTAATCGGTAGGAAGCAAGGAACTAAACATGTTTTTAATTGAAATGTTAACATTATAAGCACTTGTTCAGCATTTTAACGTAATTATCAGAGTATTTTGCTTGATGTCTTTAGAGGGAGACTGCAGATTAGGGAAATCTGTATCATTTGGTACTTATATAATGCTGTCGTAATAAAAGCAGAAATTAGACTAGTATTTATAATCTGATTTATGACATCTGTCAGTAGTATTTCTTGTGTTTGGAAATTTATATTACAGCTTAGAATATGAAATAGAAAATAAAGTATGTGCTATATAGTAGTTAGTATTAGGAAGATAATTTAGACCAAATTTGCTTTCCTTCACAGGCATGTAATTCTAGAATTATTTAAGTGGGATTCTGCCAGACACATATCAATATAAGTGACAGCTGAATTTGGTCCCCTAAAAGTGATGCATGTGTCATGCGTTCCATTTTACCTCTGGGGAAGGGTCTTGAATTGTTTTTGTTCCAGTCCTTGTGGTTTTAGGGGAAGCGTTGTAAGATGCTCTCTTTTTTTCGGTACTGTGGCATATTAGATTTGCTGGTTTTTTCCAAAGAAGTTTACACTGCTCCTGTATTTATTATTATATTGGTGACAGGGATTTATTTTTCCTACAAGCCTACCAGTTCTATAGACACTCAGGAAGTGCCATCTAATCTTTCAGTAGTTCCAGTTATTTTCTAAAGCATACTACACCTTCCAGCAAAAATTTCTTTCACTGTCTGTCATTAAATCAGTATTCTGAATGACAATAGGCTGCACAACATACAAACTAGAGTGAGCAACGAAAAGACACATCCAATATCTAGGCTATGCCAAAGTGACCTTCTCTACTAAACATATATGCACAACTGCTGTCTCCTTTCGTGCCTGAAAGACACTCATTTCCTATCACTGTAAACATTCCAGTGACGTAGCTGAGTATATAAAGAAATAATGATCTTGACTGATATTCTTCCTTCCTGTGAAAATTCCTACAGGAATTAGGAAGGAGGAATCAGAAAGGAGGGAAATCTTATGGAATAACATGAAGGGAACATTACTGATTGATCCTTCTTTTCAGTATGGTGATAACCCCTCCAGACTTGATCTGAGCCATACTGATATGAGCTTCCTTTAGTGCTAGTTGGGCTGTATCTGTTCTAAGTGCATGCAACAGAGAAATTACTTGCTTAGGTTACTGAAGTCTTTGTTGTCCTCTGTTATTTTGATATTGTGACTTCAAATGGCTTCCATCTTTGCTCATATTTCACCTTTGTGTTTATCCCCTAGTAGTCTTTCCTCACCTGAAAAGGGGCAGCCACTTGCTACTTCTGACGATTTGGATAAATCTGAGACCTAGTTTGCTCAGACATCCTTTAGCTTCCTACAAGGATATGCACTTTGCTGTAGGAAAGAGAAAAGAGTTTTACTTGAATTAGGCTTATAATTATGTACAAGAGAATACAGCCATGCTGTAAAAAGAATTAATGAAGTAAAATAAGATGAACACTGTAACTTGAATGAACTGAATGTATCTGTATCACTAAGTTGAACTTCAGCTAACAGTAAGGCTGTTTTTTGCTTTTATTAATCATACTCTACTGAATTTGAGTCATATTTTTTCAAACTGAACGAGTTGAGCACTGTTTACTTATTGATGTATTCAGATTGGCTATTATTCAATACAGTAATCATGTTTGGTCTCTCTTGTGGATATGCTCCTCCAGAATCTCACTCTTCTTTTCAGCGGCAGTGGTGGTGAATATTTGGGAAGTCCCTTTGGGGAATTTCCTCTCTCATTTAGTTTTTCTGTTGTACTCTTCACACCCGCTCTCTGCTCCCAACTCTGCCATCTGCTATACTTTCTTTCCCCCTCCACTCTGTTCAGCTTTGGCTTCTTCACACCCCACTCCCACGTCCCTTTCTGTCTCTCTTCATCTGCCCACCACTCAATCTCTTCAATGTTTGGGTATGGAACTAAGCCCACAAGAATGGGTCAGAACTTTGAAGGGGGAGGGCGGTTAGTTTGGGGGGATGTTTTGATTTGTTTGTTGCTGTTGTTTTTTTGTCTTTTCTCTTTTTTAAAAAAAATTATTTAGGCCTTTGCGAATCCAGCACACATCCACTGGACAAGCAGAAACCCAAATACTGATTTTTTTTGTAAGAAAAGCTATGTGAGGTGCATTGTCATCCAAGTTTGTCTGGTGAACAGCTTGCTGCAGCTCTACATTTTTGTGCACATGTTATGCATGCATATTAGCAAGTCATCTTTGTCTTGAGGAGTAAAGATCTTGCACATAATTTGCCTAGTTACTTTACAGTTACAGTAGCTAGAATACATACTTCAGTCTTGATGCAGCACAGAGAAAACCATTCTGTTCCCCTCTGTTTTCTTAAGTTCTATAGAGCCAAATTTAACTGTAGTTTACCCTGGTGTCCAGAGAATAATGTTTTTTTACAGCATCAATCTTACGTGGTCGTGAAATTTATTCTTGTATCAAAAAGGTGCAGCAATCATATTTAGAAACTATAGAATGCTAGTCTTGCTAGTGCAAGTTGGATTTCAGAATGACTAAAAAGAAAGATTTGAACTCCAGTGTTATTATTTGAATGCTGTTTAGCTGTAATGAGTTTGTTTAATTAAATGTCTTTATGCAAGTATGCATTTTCCTTTTCATATTCCCGGTGTTTGTTTTTAAAATGTACTTTGCCTGTGTTTTAGGATATAGAAGCAGCAGAAAAAAAGCTGCAAGCAAGAGTGTATTTACTTCCACATCCCGATACTGTTAAGTTAGAAGTAAGTCCTAGAACTCTGTCTTTTCATTTGTTGTTTACCAAATATTTTGCTTTTTTTTCCCCCTGAAGCATGTTCTTAAAGTGAAAATAATTGATTTTAAAATCCAGTGACTGGTATAGCCAAAGGCCTGTGTACTGTGTAGCAAGCTGAACCTAAATTCTGGGGCAAGGTCCCTAGATTCTGGAGCATTCTGGTGGAAATATTTTGCAGCTTTCAGATCTATACAAACTTCTGTTTAAAAATGAAGTGAAATATAAAAATGAATCTTGTGGATATCAGAAGATAACTGTGTTTGTGATGTCAGAGCTATTTAGATAATTTTAGATGATCTCCTCATTTTCAGTTTGCCACAGTTTTTCATCTTTACATTTCAGGATCAACAGTTTATCAGCATGAACAGAGAAATTTTCACTTCTCAGAGTTATTTTATGGTTGTATGGAAGCTTATGAAAAGCATTGCTGCAGCAGGAACACTCGATTTTTATTTCTCAACCTGTAGAGCCTAAAACTTTATTTAAAGATAAAGATTTTGAACAGCAAGTTACTCTGAGAACTAAATATTATCCTGATACAACAGAACAAGTTCAGTTCCCTGGTCTCAAGACTGTTTTATCAGTGTTATGTAGTGATGAATGAATGAATGATGAGCACGGAAATCTTCCTGATGCAAACTAAACATCTTAACGACAAGGCCGCTGAGTCCAATTCCCACTTGTGTTTCTTGCACCAGTGGTTTGTGGGTTCTTCAATTTATGATGGCTTAGTTTCCACAGGTTTAGTAGCACAGAGTGTCCCATGCTAGTTTGTGTGCTAGGGCACTGTCAAAGGAGAGGAAAGGTACAGATTTGAACGCTGTCAGCCTGTGAAGAAAGGTGTATTGTACATTAGTTTCACACCTGCTGGGCAAGTGTTGCAATGCTTAGGCTATTACTTCAATGAGAGGCATCTCTTCTTGTTCTGGTTACTGTTAAAAGTTCTTGTCTGTCATTGCACTTTGTAAATAGCCTACTTCTGTCACCGTGACAGGATGCACACTGAGGGTGTCCATTCAGTTTGGGTTTTTTTACTTTTTTTTGTTTTTTTAGATTTCAAATAAAAGGGTATCTCTTTTCCTAGATACCTGTACATCTTGAATGATGCTAAGACAAATGCCAAGCTACTAATAACAAACTTGTTTTGATTGTGTTTGGAAGTAGTTTTAGACTTTCAAGGCACCTCTAGAGTTTGGATCAGTTTTGGACTGCTGCTCCCTCTGTCCTGTGTTAGGTGTTAAGCTGCTTGTGACAAGTAGCCCAAAGTCCACTCAGACTGGAGAATGCAAAGCAATTGCTCATGGCTGCAGAGATGTCTGTGGTCTGCAGCAGCGGTTGAATTTTAGAGAGAACAAGGTTACTATTTGAAGGAGAAGATCCTATTTCAGCCTTTTTTTATACTTCTGAAGAAGAGTGCTATAAATAGTGGAAAAAGAAAACTTTCTTTCATGGTACAAAATTCTTGTGCATGCTTTGTTCCAAAATGCTTCTGAGCATATTTCACTCAGCCATATATGTGTCTGTATTAATATACTTTGAAAGTTATGGCTATAATGGATCCCCAGCTTGCTAAGTCGGAGTAGTTTTGTGTGACAGCACATATGCTTGTCAAAAAAGATTCTTTGAGTAAATCTGTTGAAGAAAATATTTTTGTAAATCTGCAAGAGCCATAGTTATATCTGAGTTACATGGAAGGATCAAAGTGATTAGCCAGGAATCTAATACTCTGCAGGGAGATGTTCAGTTTTGTGGTATGCTGCTTCTACATTATAGACTTATAGAAGTAAAGGAAAAAAAGCTCAATACGTATGTGCCATAGATGTTTTGCTACTACAAAATCACTTTTTTTTCTGAATGAACATCAATGTCTAAAAATACATCAGTAGATGGTTCTAAGTGTTGGCTTAATACAGCTCTTTAATCACATTATACCTGGCACTTGACATTTTCTTTAAAATCCTACAGACAACAAAGTTATCCTTAGGATACCAGCACACAAATGCTGAGTGGTATGTCCATTCCACGGATAAAAAAGAAGTTGAATTTATTACTCGGAGGCAATGCAGAGAAAAGGTTAGATAGTTCACAGTGGTTTTCCTGTACCACAGGATGAGTATACAGCTAACTTATTTATTTGTCATCCAAATACTGGAGCTGATTACTTTAGCAGTAATTTATCGCACCTAAAATTTTTCTCTAATATTTTGAGCTATATTTCTGCAAACTTTGCCCGGATAACCAATTTATGTAGCACTTTCCATTTTAAACATTAAACATTTTTTCCACTTCAAAATTAAATTCCACTAACATACCTTCTTAAATATAAAAGCTGCTTTTGGAAAAGTTTATTATCATGTCAAATACGTTAATAAAGGTACTGTGAGGGTCTAAATTAATCTCTTGCTTACCACAAGAGGGCACATTCAGTCACTTCACAGTTGATGCTGCAGAGTGAAATCTTTCCAGGTTGGTATTTTGTATCATACGTGAGGTTTGAAATTTCATGTGCGTTGTTCTTTTCTGAATTGCTTCACTCATAAGGCAAGATTTAATAATGCATTGCATATCTATGTTGTTTTTAAACAGGCTGACACGTATTTTGAAATTAAGTTTATTTTTTCTTATATCTTTCTCAGACTCTCTATTGGGCATCAATAAAAGACTCTCTTCCCAAGTGGGAACAGTTTCTTTTAGGAAGAGCAGAAGTTCCTCTTGATTTTAAGAAAACGAAAACTACAAAACAGAACATAAGCTACCCAGAAGAAGATTCTCAAAAATAAACAGCCTAGTTTCATTTTGTTTTGTAATTTATGGCTTTAAGCAGACAAGATCATCCAGATCAGGCAACAGAATATCATGCCATTAAATTGTAATGTAAATAATTTAAATGAAAATGAACTATATTGGATAATTTGCTTCCGTTGTTGCATTGTGTGCAATTCATTGTTTTTATTCTGTATTAGAGAAGCAATGCTCAAAGGGGCTTTTATGATCAAAAATGAGAAATGTTGGTGTATAGAAACCCACCGAGGCAATTGCTTTTTCAGTATGAGAAGACTTTTAGGTTATTTTTAATCCTCTGCTTCTACATATAAGTGGGATAAGTAAGGACAGATCCATGCATTATCTTCCTTCACTGCAGTCATCTGTGCTGTGTGCCTCTTTGTGAATGAGGGAGAAAGGAGGGATTTGCTGTTAATGGGGAAGGCAGGCTCTCTGCATCAGAGTAGCCTTGGTTTAGCACCAAAAATACGTGAAAATCTTCATGAGAGCAGTTGTAGAAGGAACACCTTGAATTTCTGCATCTTGTTTTCCCCGATTTTTGTCATTGCCACTTTTATCGCTCCTACACCTCACTCCAAGCTCCTGCCGCCTACTTTGTATTTCCTGTCTAATGGGTGGGTAAAGACAAGAAAAAGTAAACAAATCTCTAGGGTTTTTTGCTACTTCTAGGCTGTCCTTAATGCTGTTTTCTTTATGTTGACACAATCTACAAGTGAGAAATTCTGCTTAGGCAGGAAGAATTTGAAAGAAGCAAACTGAAAGGTAGCTGGCAGTGGCTGTCCAAGAACCAAGCACATATAGAAGTTGACGAGATTATAGCTTCATTTTCAGCCGTTGAAGAGCTCCTCAACTTCCTCCTACAGAGGTGCGGCATCGTTCAGTTTTGATTGTACAGTGGGCTAAATGGGTATGAAAATTTCCCTGCTCTGGAGCAGTGCTTTTTAAAGTATCAGTTCAGTGGAAGATCCTTTCAGGTGTGTGACTTGGCCTGCAGAAATTTAATCCTTCCTAAGCAGAGCAAGCCTACGAATTTTATTTTATTTTATTTTTAATTAAGATCTGAACTTGAGCCAATATATTGTTAAAATGTAATTTCATATACAATGACATGCTTCCACACCCGACCTGAAAACAGCAAAAAAAATGTTACTTCTGCCAGTGTTTGAGGATATGAAAATGTAATTATTACAAATTTTGCTAGGCTACTAGTGAACTGATCTATGCATCTCTGTTCCATATAGAGATATATATTTTTAATAGCAGAGATGTTTTAATGGCTTATTGAAACTGAGGTACTTTGTAGCAACATTTCTCATAAGTGTCCTGACTGCTTTGGATTACTGCACTAAAAAGCTTGTGTTCATTTAGTTAGTTAAACATGGTTAAGTTAATCACTGAGCTGTTTGTGGGGAGTTTATGGTCCAGTCAGAACTGGAGGACTAACTTCTAGCTGCAAGCTATAGGAAGTCTGGATAGTCTTTAAAGATGCTGCTTTCTGTGAAATTAGCCACTCAGTTTGATCTGAATTTAAATTGGCTGAAGCATCACTGACACAATCAAATCATAACTTCAGCTGTGATATAAAATTGTTCTGTTTTCAAGGAGAATATGAAGAGTAGATTTAAAACTTTTTCTATTGAAGTGTCCATTAAACTGATAAGTTTTTACAGAAACTGCCATCTTAGAAGTATCCTGTTGAGTGGGTGTTGGTGTTTGTAACAATAACGTTGTTTTCATAATATGTGATGGCAGATTAGCACGCTTCTCTGCAGTGTTGTTAACAGTTGTAATTAAGGAATAAACAGTAAAGGGTGTCAGTCCGATGACAATTTCATCTATAGTGTCACAATACAAAATGTCACAAAATATTAGAACTGTTATATAACTACAAAAATATCAAATTAGGCTTTCATCTTACAAGCAGAGAGCTTTAAAAAAAAACCCAAACAACCTGGCATAGACACCATTGCAATTTTATACCTACTCAGTGTTCTGTCACAAAGACAACTTGGTAATATTTTCTTCTGTAAGATCACAATGTGGTTCTCAAGCTGATTTAGGGGGAATGTGTATGGATCTTAGAACTGTAGAGCTCCCATTTAAAAAGCAAATAATTGGAACCAGTTGAGCAGACAAGAAGGGAAAAGCTATTCCACATGATGCCCAGAATGAAGGGATGGGTGAGCAGTTAGTTCCTAACAAAGACTAGGATTCATCCTGGTCTTTGCATCCAAAGGGAAATCACTTAAACTAAAATCTGGGCCCCTAAGTACTTTATATGTGTGAATAATCTGGGTCTTTATCTCTTTGGACTCCGCCTGAACACTGGGACACAATGCAGATGCTCACTATCTCCTTGCCCCTTTTGATTTCCCATGGAAGGAAAGCCGAGCGTGTGGACTGAGAGGGCACAGCTGGGTGGGCGAGGGTTTTGTGAAAGGCACCTGCAAGCACTGTTAGTATAACTTCTGTGCAGTGGTTCTGTGCTCAGATACCCCATTTGTGATTATTTTGGTGTTATTGGGCAGAGCGATTAAGATTAAAATGAAATTGCCTTATTTTCAAAGAAGGAAGTTACTTATTTTTTCTGCAGTGTAGCTTTAGAAGCAATAGGACAACTAAATCCGTGGAAAACTGTATAGGAATTTGTCCAGAAAATGATAAAATGAAGAGAAACGTTTAAAGCAGGAAAGCAGGAATGTGTATAGGTGACTGCTCTCAGAGACAAGGGCCTTCGTGTTGGCCTGTGATCTGATACAAATGCCTGCATTTTATTAATTTATTAATTGCATATGACTGTGAAGCAGCGCAGCAGTGGGGCAGAGAGGCGCACAGCGGGGCCGTTAAGGTACCAGAGCGAACGTTTCCTGATTTGGCAGAGACTTTGGGGCAAGCGGTGGCAGGGAACATAATTATATTGTATCTCCTGTTAGATTTGTTGAGAGCACAGTTTAAGTTACTGTGGCTGAGCTAGCTTGCCACTTGCCTTTCTCTAGATACGAATTGGAGAAAGCAAATGCTAAACTGAGTGTGTTGAAAAAAACAAACAAACAACAGAATAAAACCTAAAAACAAAATCCCCCAAACTGATTGATCCTGGTATAGTTTAATATCGACTTTAAATGAGACCTTGAACAGGTATTCTTCACCAAGTCAAGGCTGTTACTTCAAGCATACTGATTCTATGTAGTTATACCCTCTCTTATCACAAGCTTTTATATAAAAATATATAATATATGTAATACATAATTTATGTCTATTATGTAATTTCCTGCTTGCCTTGGGTAAATGTTTTTTTCCTCTCAGAACATAACCTGATACTCTGCATTCTTCACTTGCTGCTTGCCCTTTTGTGCTAAAATATATGTATACAGAAGTTGCAATGGGTCTGAGAGCCTGTTGCTTCCTGTGCTTTTTCTGGTGCGTGGGGGAAAGCAGTCGAGAGAAGAGCAATGAGGAAAACCAAAGGTTTTGCCTGTTTGGAAGTTAATCTTAGAGTTTCTTACAAGAAGAAATAATTAATCATCCTTTTTTGGGTTTGTGCACAGATGAGTAACCACCGTACTAACCCAGGAGCACAGCCTGTTCACCCATCTTGTCACCTCTACCATCATATTCCCAAGCTTTTTCCTTTCTCAGATATTCTGGCTGTGGGGGCAGGAGCAGAAGGCTTGTTAGTTTTCCCTAGGATAAGATATGTCTTACTCTGCAGAATCTTTCTCAAGCCTATTAATTTCTTTTGAGAGTACATATAAAATAATAAGATGGCTTAGATGTGTGATATTTGACACTTACTATGGTGTCCTTTTGATTGCGTTTATTTGGGGTCATGTTTTCATAGGAGCTAGGAGCTCGATTTTAGGCTAAGCTTATATAGTTCTTCATTTCTGTCTTTTTCATCCACATAGAGCAGCTCAGGGGTAGAGATGCACAGTCTGAGCTTGTTGGGACTGAAAAATGAGAAAACCAAATTTGAAATGGAATGTACTCTTAGAGGTTACGTCTGAAAGAAAACATTATCTACTCCATAATGGTAATTTTCATAATATTTTAATAGTTGTGTTCAGATACAACTTGACCTTAAATATCACCCCAAATGCAAGCTGTTTTAACATATTTGTAATGCTAAGGTCTTCATTACTGTAATATTCTGTTTGCTCAAGGATTATAATCCATGGATATAATGTGTTGAAATAAAGCTTTGATCCTGTAGTCACTGCCTCTTGGATTTCAGTGTTACACTGCGTGTATGAGTTGGATGTAAATTGGTGCCAGCTGTAGCCAAGTGTGTGGACAGCGACTATGCCAGGGATAAAGACTTTGCTTGGGTATGGTGTGTGTTTCCCTCAGTTTTTCTGTGCCACTGCTCTGAAATATTAATCTGCTGAGTGAAGATTAGAGTCTCAGAAGTTTACTGCGGAAAAACCCAAACATAGTGAATCCCAGAGCGATTATTTGCACCCTTCCCATTGTTTCACAATAATTGTGAGCTATCTTACTTCAGATACGTGATTGCTACCAAGATATTGATAGAGATACTTAAACCTCTGCAAAGGAAACAGTTGGGGAAAAAAACACCTGGTTCTTTAGTGCGTCTGCCTGCTGTGTGAAGCTCTTTGTCTTTGCCGTAAATAGGGTGATTTAATTTAGGAATTTGCTACTCCTTTTAAACACAACTGAAGCAGCTCTTGAAAAAGCACTAAGTTGTACCTACTGCGTGTGTAGTCTTCCAGTTGTATCTTTTCTGTCTGAGTTACTCTGGATATGTTTGTTTTTAACGTGTACAGAGAGGGAAGTATGCTCATTTCTTCCCCTAAGTTTTATCGCTAGTGATGATGATCTTAAAAATAAACGTGTGGTGTTCTTTCTTCTTGCTCTGTCGTGTCACCTACCAGAAAGCCCTAATAGGCAACCAAACAGTGTGAGACGGTATTTACATCACACGTTTGAAACAGATTCAAGCAGAGCCAGCTGCCGTAAGATTATTTTACAAATATATTGCGAATTAATAAAAAGAAAGTTTTGCCGTCCTTCAAGTAAATTACAGTCTCTGTGACTAATTACATAGCTTGAAGCCGCAGTAAATTAGTACCTGCCTCACAGCGGTGTTGGGAAACGTAATTTTGGTTTCCGGGCTTGCATTTCTTTCCTCGTTTATTTTGTATGTATTCCTAATAGCTCCATTCACGGTGCTTTAACTGTTGCTCAATCAAAGCTGCCGGAGGATAATTTGCTTTTAATCGAAGCACACGCCGGCAGCTTTGTTAGGCGCGGTCTAACCTGGCGCTTCCCCGGCAGCTGCCTGCGGCTGCGCTTGCCTCCGCGGCGGGGCTTTGTGGAGC